CTTAAATGTAGGTTACACTTCAACTCTCAAGAGAAAAAACAATAAACCACCTGCTTAATAAAATTACCTTTTGTGTGTGAAGCTGTACTACCCCTCAGTGATTCCTAGGCAAGGAAAACCGCCATACCTCCCTGCACTTCCAGCTTGTAGCTGAATAACAAACAAATGACCCAGTGCCTCTTGCACCGTGCCCTGTTTTTTCACATCTGTTTTTCTTGTTTTTGTGTCATGCCTCTGTTTAGCTTTATTGACAAAACAATCTGTGCCTAATGTTTAAACAACATCTGTAAAATGTATTATTAAATTATGTTGGAAGAAAAAGCAGAGCCGTTCTAGGAAACCCTATGACCCCCTATTGATTTTTAGATCACAGAAGTTGAAAGGATAATTTGTGAATGTTTTAACATTTACATCTACGCAGGTACCTATATTTATAGGATCTTTGATTACTTATAAAAGTGTTTGTTACATTATTACCATAACTCAGAACGAAACCTGGCCTTTACCAGTTGAATCTGTTTATTATAATAAGGGAGAGCCTATTTTTAAAAAAATAACTTTACATTTTTACCTGCCAGTGGCATAAATCTCGAAGGGCAACATACTTTTTTTTCCCCACCAGTAATAAAAGGAAAGTGATGCCTGAAAGCTTTGCAGCTTTGAAGGCAATAAATGAAAGAACTAGGAAAATCTGGTGTGTGTACTAAATCTGAGAACTGTAGAGCTGCAATAGTTTTGTAAAGTGTCACCTCAGATGTTACGATGCTACCTGGAATTTTATGCACCCTACTGACGAGTAATTGTTCTCTCCACCTATATATTGTATTTCACATACACTATATATTTTGCACCTAAATTCCATATTGCCTTTTCAGAACATAAAGGAATAATCACTTAACTTTAGGCCTTAATGGGAAAATATTTGGATAAGAAATAGTAAACAAAGAAACTGTAAAATATATTCAGTACACCCTGGGCTAGAACTCTCTGCTGAGGCAGGATGTGTTGGAGGCATTCAGCAAATAAGATACAATCACAGGCACAAGTTTTCATCACATGGAATTCCCAAGTCTACAACACTACTGTGAAAACATATAAGGGAGTTTTTATTTGACCACTCTACACTCACATTTTCAACATAAAAAATAAAGTTGGTGTATTCAGGAGAAAAAAAAAGAACTGTGTGTGTGTGTGTGTGTGTGTGTGTGTGTGTGTGTTCTATCTTTGAAGTTCTATCTCAATGTTTAAAGACCTAAACATCTAATCTCAAAATTTAAGAAGTTTCCTTTTAAATGACTAAAACATTCAACCTATTAGTAATATGCTTTCACTGCTGATATAACATTTGTCATGACCACACAATAATGAAAAAAAAAAAAAAAAGAAAAAACTCCAAATGCTATTATTTATCATTTTTGGATCCAACCATAATTGGGACTGAGGGAGCAAAGGAAGAAGAGTATATGCATTTATAGCACGTATCATATTTCAAAAATTATTATGCTTCAAGTCTAAGTCTATCGCAGCAGGCTAGATTGAAATATTCAGGCAATTTGTTATGGAAGTTGTTTTTTTTTTAAATGCCATTATCTCAAATACTTAGATAATTTAGGTAAAAATATTTACCCAAATTATTTGCATAAATGTCTCAATTCTAAACAAAAAAAACCCAAACTATTGGCATAGACTTGTCCTACAATGTCTCATCTAATAAATGTCACATTCCATCCCAGGACCGAATTCCTATAAATACTAATACCAGCCATTTTCAAATTCCTTGTTTCTGTTTTCATTCTGGCAGGTAAACCAAATATAAAAATTATAACAGTTACTTCTTTTAAGCCAAATTTTTCTCTTTATTAATCAAACCTGTCTTGTTTTAGATTTAGATGGTTGTTTAAATTTCTTCTGGTTGTCTCTTCCTCTCCCAAATCCCATATGCTTTGATCTAGTTAGCCATATATCACTTATGCCAATTCAATATATGTAAAGTTAGCTCAGCAATGGCATGAAAGAACCATTACAACACACCAAACTTTTCTCATCTCCTTTTTCAGTCAAAACCTAACTTAAAGCTGCACCAGCCAGGGTTTCTATGACAAGCTAACAACTAGATATGAGTTTATATTTTTCACTTTCAGATTGTGTGTTTCCATACGTTATGCTGCTGCCAATAATTATGACTGATCTACACCCAAGCTGCCCTTCAGCATTTTATGAAATCTCTTCAACAGTGACTCATAGTTTGTACAAAATGTACATGTGTGTTAACAAGTTTTAAGAACTCCAAGAAGGAAGACACATTTTGAAATGTTGTGGCTAAATGAAGTAAAAGAGAAATGCTAAAATACTAATGAAGTGTTTTTTTTTTTAATTATTATTTCCCAAAGGAAGTAACTTGGACTTGATGCTCACCACAGGACAAATGTTTCCAAGCTCTCAAAAAGGCTTTGTGTAATTTTTATTATGATAAAGTAAAATGAAAACCACTCAGTGGTTATGCTACTTTGTAGTCTTCAAGCATGCCACAGTGTAAGATTCTCTGACATCTTTGATGTCAATACAGTACCATCTGGGTTTTCCCATTTTTGCATCAGATTTCCTACTCAAAGCCTAAAGAAAAAGAAGTCTATTATCAGTTCCTTAAAAGGAGAAGGTTGGGATGAAAAACGAATAAACCGTTAAAAACTCAAATCAAACATGGGAATGTCATTATTCATCAAACTTGAGAGAAACAATATCTCTTACAACTTTTAGTTACTTGAGGGAAATTCTCTACCACAGAGCTGTGAGAGTTGAAACAGTTGCCAAATCCGAAGCCATGAAGCGCAAGCAGGAGCCGCTTCTAACTCCTTAGAGAAGTAGAGAGAGCACATGCACATGATACAGTGCCACTTGAGAGAGAGCAGAATTGTGCTGACGTCCCACATTTCTAAGCAAAAGTGATTTTTAAGTTACGTAACTGTGCAGAATTGAATATCGGGATGGAGTTTAGGGTAAAGTCTGCATGCACTTTGAAAAATTATCACATGGTCCATACTATAACTTTTTTAAGGTCCATTCCCCCCCTTCTAATTTCAAAGCTGAGGAAGTCGGGTTGTGATCACTGACTACGCGCAGGATCTAGGAAAATAACAAATTGCCCACTGCTTGTTGCCCCAGGAATAGCTGCCCGCCCTTGCATCTACAGGAAATATCCCGTAAGATCATCCACCTGTAGAAAGCACACTTGTATTGGAATTTGTTCTCTGGTAACTATGTATGTTTATGAGTGAAGTTTGCTAGCAACACAGGAGGATGAGAGATGGCATGTGTGACAGATCCCCTGAATGGCCACGCTTTGTTTTCTGTAATTAGAGCTCGCCCCGCCACTCCTTGGCCTTTGAATGGGAACATTTCCCAGGGAAATATGACATTTACACAGCTTACATTGTATTAAAATTGCCTCACCATCTATTTAACTTTGAAACTATATAGGAAATTAGGTATGTGTGCAAAATTGATGGTCTCCTCTATAATGATGTCCAGAACAATTTGAAAGACGAAGTTCAAATATACAGTATCAACGGTCTTAAAAATTCAGATACAATAGCAGGTAAAAATATAGGCAAACACAACGCAAACCCTCAGCAGCGACCCAACTCCTAGTAACACATTTAGGTATAGTATGTCTTCTGCTGGTTCTCTAACCACTTGACTAAAAGGGCTGCAAAAATTGATCTCCCAAGTCTGTGGTAAGGTCACAGAAATTGATAACCCTTACAAGCAAAGCTTATGTGAATCTGTCTGTGTCTGGAAGATAGTGCACTTTGTAAATTAATCCTCCAAAGGCAAATATATTGTAAGTAGCTTGTTATCTCTAAAATACTAAATTGAAGAATACATGGGATTATATTGACAGAAATTACATTTTCTATAATGGAGTTTAATATATCTGAAATCTCTCCCAAAGGCTCTCAGGCTCTCTAACAGAGAAGGGTCTGTTAATGTAGGTGCAATGGACATCAAGAACAAATTTATTCACCAAAATGGATTAGGCCATGTAATCAGAGATTCTATAATATTAATCTTTGACACTTATTGAACAGAAAGAAATACTTCCATCTGCAAACTGGCATTCTCAATTCTTCCCTTTCCCAACCAGGCTTTGGGCCTTTTCTGGATTTTACTTCAAAGAGGATAAGGTTTCCCCATCATAAACACTAATCTAAAAATATTAGGACAATTAATTAGATACACTTCTTAGTTTTAGAGGATATTGGATTTCGGTACCCTTCAAATATGACACTAGCTCTGGGTGATTATCTGAACCTAGCTTTCAGCACACTCACAAAGGGTAATAAATCATACTTTCTCAAAGCCTCCTTGCCACACCGCCGTACATTAAGTCAGAATTTTGTTGGCTGGTACATAATCTCAGCTTCTTCCCAAATCAGGAATTTACACATTTATTTAGTATTGCCAAGTCCAGAGATGCATCAGGTTTTGAAGAGCTTCAAAGTAGCAACATAAGTAATTTCTCCTTTTCCAGAGGTGGGAGATAAGAGGAAAAGAGAGAGTGACCTTGAATGCATAGCCCTAACAAAATCTAATTGAATTGAGTTATTCAGTGAATTTAAAACCTGACTGATATGCGATGGTGGATTTTCTTGTTTCGTAGAAAATAGGATGATGCCACTTTTTCTATCGATTATCCTGAAAAGGGAAAATAAGCCACAGCGAGAGAGATACATTTACAGAGCCATAGTGAACGTGAGTTAAACACTGACATATACTATGCCTAAAATTTCTCAATTAATAAAGGAAGTGGAAAACAATACATCACTTTCCTTTCCATACTAGCAAAACTCTCACCTATCAGTCAACAGTTTGTTTTCACCTTTGGATCAACAAGCCACCAGGGAAAACAGCAACAACTGGGTGTGTCTTCATGCAAAACCTTAGCTGCAGGTTGTCAGAAGGGGGAGCAGATTATATAAATACAAAGCCAAATTACTTACCAATTGTTCACTTGAAGGATGGTGAGTCCCGTGTCTTGTGCCAACTGCTTTTTCTGTTCTTCAGAAGGGTAAGGGTGCTGAAAGAGAACAAAACAGATAGGTGTATGCACATACACTTTGGAGAGATAAGGTAGTGCATAGTACATGTCAGGTTCAACAGTAGGAGCTAGGGATTCAATAATACACAGATATGCTCTGTTAAAAGAGAGGGAGAGAGAGAGAGAGGGAGAGAGCGGGGGGGAGAGAGGGAGAGAGAGAGAGAGAGAGAGAGGGAGATCAAGGCAATATTTAAGCTATTGGTCAATAACCTAAGTGTCTAGTGAAGTCTATAATTAAAGGTAAAAATGCTGAGGTGTGTCACTCTTATTAATGGAATACTACATCACCTAATTAATGGCAGTCAAAGACAAGCCAATTACAAAGATTAGTGAAGTGTATAAATGGCTACTTAGGATACTTGCAGAACCTTGATACTGAGTTTATCCTTTAACAGGTTTATTTGTTGCAAACACTGAAAGTTTAGTGTGGTCTTCACTCTATGTGACAGGACTGAAATAAAGACAAGCCCTTTCAACAACATGAAAGTGTACCACCTTGATGTAATATTTTTATTAGAACCACAGACTTCTAAAGCTGAACCTTTTGGACAGAAATTTCAACTGAGGTCCCCAGTAGTTAAGCACTTTGTTGGCATGACATGCTTCCTCCAAACACCACATTGCTGGATGCAACTATTAAAATCAAAGTGGGTGCATTTTTTTTAAACCACTATTCATATAGCTCAGCTCTTTTTAAAAGCACAAACAAACAAAATTCAACCAAAGTTTGTTTCCATATCTGAATGTCAACACACGCTGGAGTTCTGAACATAGGCCAATATAAGGTCAAAGCCCAGCATAGTTTGCATGCTATGAACAAGCCCAGCTATGTTCCTCATAAAATAGGATAAAAAAAAGCATTACGGGATTAGGTCATAAAATGAAATCCATACCTTCTTGAAAGGATGTTTGGAATTATACTGAAATTCGTTTTGGTACAAATACTTTTCGTTCAATAATCAATTATATCTAAATCTGAAATATACACTTCTAAAGCCTGAGAGAGGAGCTGAGGACATGGTTTTCATCTAGAGAGACGCTGGCTAGTTTGAAACACTGCCTCCCAATAAATTCTCCCAAAGTAAAACATGTTCTGATAGTCAGCTACCTATCCTCTTATGCGTGGGAAAGGGCACCCCTAACTCTCAATTTAACTACCCGTGCCATTGGCAACTAAATTCTGGTCTATTGAATGTTAATTAACATAGCTTTTAATCTCATTAATAATATCTGATTAGATGCTAAGAAGACTCATTAATGACCACTCTAATGCTCTTACATGTAAGTTTAAATATGTTCTATATCTATACACATGGGATTCGTTTGTGGAGAGCAGAGATGTAGCAATTTTTCCCATAAGCATTATCTTTGATTGTCACTTAATCAATAAATACACAATTAGAATAAGGCTTTGCTTTCATGGAATATAGTGCCTTTCTCTACAGAGGTCCAAGTGTATTACAGACAGGATGGTAATTAATCCCCGTTATATCCCTTTGAGGGGCATAAATGGAATCTATTGTCCCTCCTGTTTCACAGCTGAGGAAGCTGACCAGGGGAAGCTATGGTCAGCAGCTGCACAACTCAGTCATATTTCCTGCTTCCCTTCCAGTGTCTAAGCCTCACCGTGAACGGGGGATGTGGCAAACACCTTCCATAATCTCTGCTCGTAACCCCTGCTCAAAAACTTCCAGACTGCTTATCATAGCTTGCAAGGCCCACCACTATCCAGCGCTGCCTACCTCTCAGATTTTGTTGCCTTCTCCTCACCCCACCCCACCCTCCTGCCCAGCTACCCAGTCCTCCTTTCCATTCTTCCAATACATCAAGCTACCATTCAGGCTCCTACTCCAATGTGACTTGCACATTCTCAGCTCAAATGCCAAGTCTTACCCACTCCACTCTCCACCAGCCCACCTTATCACTCCCCCACCAGTCTTTCCCTTTTTCCCCAATAGCAAGCATCGCTCTCTGAAACACTTGTTCTGATTACTTGCTTCCTTGTTGATGTGTCTCTTCCCACTCATTTAGCAACTCCAAAGCCCATGCCTTTCTTGTTCACCATCCCGAAATCCCAGACTAGCATAACCAAGAAATCAGTAAACATTTGTGGAATAGAGGAATGGCTGTGACGTGCTGTAATACACAGATACTCGCCACTCAGAAGTAACATCAAAATGTATAATAAAACTTTTTCAAAGCCCAAAAGAGATGTAAATAATCCAATCCGAAACCCACAACACTATGTTTCCTTACTTCATTCCTAAAAGTGATGTTGACCCACTCGTTTCAAATAAAAGTATATAAACCTCATAATCGGCTAAGATCACAGGTGACAATCTCCCTACTCAACATAATGCTCGTCCTCACAGGCAAAATCTCATGATTGGATACTGAGCTAAGAGCCATCCACTACCCCAGGTTTAAAACATAACTCCCACTGCCTAGAGGCTTGCCACACAATAGAAACCAAATGAATCACTTAGCCTATGAGTAGAATACTGAATTACGGTGTGATATATAGTTCTATGTCTACACTGGTTGAAGAATTATCATTGGCATAAATGACCCTATTATATTGTATACATTATGCTGCTACTCGCTTACTATGAGATTTTGAACAAGGGACAGGCAACTTTTCTAACCCTCAATTTTGTCAACTGGAGGAGGGAATCCTAACAGCCATTAAAGTGAAAGGTTACGGAGGCTAGCAATTCTTCCAGAATATAAGCCTGATTTGGAAATATGCGAATTTTAGCATCCAGCTATTGTTACTAGAACAATTCCTTGAATAAAGTCGTTTAGTTCAATGTCGTTTCCTTATAATATTGACAAGAGGCTGTAGGAACTTAACTTTTGGTTATATCATTAGCCTATGATAAAACTGGTTTCAGTATATGTTGTTTTGATTAAAGTCTAAGAACCTATTGACAATGTTCAGGGAGGGCTTACTGTATTTACCATATTAAGCTGTAGACTGATGCACAAAGGTCCTTTCCAATCTATACCATTTTCTGTAATTTGCTTACAGTTTTGCAGGTCCTATGGAAATCTCTTTCAGTGACTTTAAATAGAATTAATAAATATGTCAACAAGTCTCTCTTCACTATAGCTGGATGGCAACACCTTTGCTGTATCTTGTTAGTGGTGTCTTAATATTATGATCAAAACTGGATACAAATGAATACTTATGTCATTTACCTTTAGTTACTTTGAAAATTGAGAACTGTCACATTTATTTGTGTTGTGTTTTCAAGAGTATTTTTGCATGCCTGTTTGAGAGCAAGTTTTAGATCCATTCTTATAAAGCAAATGGAATTCACATTTTATTTATGCAAGCGGTGTCGGGAAAATTCTCTTTGGGTCATTAAGATTACCTGAATTGTTACAGCTTCAAAGAGCAATCATAGGGCACTCAAAATTTCAGTGCAAATTTAGAAGGTTTTTTTCACGTCATGCAGTTTCTGATTTCTTAATTTAAATATCATAAAATGGGAAAGTTCTACCCTTTTTTTCTCTCTGTCACTTTTCATGTGATCTGATTTTAAGTAATTGGAACAAACTGTGTCTAATTTCATGCAGCATAATTGTGAGGCAGCCTCAAGCTATGAAGACCAGCACTCTGTCTCCATTAAACAATTTTCAGTTGTTCGGGATATATTTTTTAATAGAAATGAATGAGCCTGGATGAAATTAAATGTCACAATAATCCGGTCATTGTTAAGGGGGGAGAAAGGGGATCGACGAAATCCCTAAACCCTTGTCTATGGTAGGTCAACTGAATGGTTTTTTCCTTCTCATAGTTCGTGGCCTTGGTGTCCCACAAACTTTCAATTCCCTGGAAAAAAAAATCTGTAATTGCGAGAATCACATGAAAGCCATGACTTCAGGGACCTAAATCCACAGTCAGACAAAAATCCACAAAGACGTCGGCTTTTTAACTGAAATCCAATATGTTTAAATATCTTAAATCCTGTGCATCTTTACTAGATAAGCTTTTTGTGGACAGTATGAGATATTCCTTTGTAGACTTAAAAAAAAAAACAAAAAACTGACTTGACAAATATCCAACATGCCACAGGAAAGGCTGCTGTAAAAACATTCCAAGTCCTGTTGCATTCCACCCAGGCTCAGGAGGCCATAAGATGAGCAAAGGTAGATGTCATTTTACAAGAGATAAAGAGAAGTGCCATTTGAGGAAGAGAATGGGAAATTCATTCCAAAGCATTGCAACCCAGGGCCTACATCACCCCTTACCATTCTCCGGAACACCTCCGCTGTTACTGCACCTCGGTGGCAAGGACCCTAGGTTAAGATAGACCAGTAGGTTGCTGCGAAGGAAAGACTGCTTGCACTTGCCAGATACAGCGATCACCCTAATCACTTTGGGATATCAAAGCGATTTTGAGCGGTCCAACAGCCAGCGACAGGAGACTTCGCCTTTGTTGTGTACGTTTAGCCTCATGCCATTATCTTTTAAAAGCTTAATTATTTGCCAACAATTGATCAAGATGGGAATTTGAGAAAGGATATGCAAGGACCACTGGGAGAACTGCAATGCATTAAGAGAGAGCAAACAAAATTACCTTTAGATCTTACAATAAGAATTAACGATTGAGCCGGCGGAGAGCTAGGCAGTGCAGTAGCTGCAAGGGTCCTTTCTCGAGTGTTTCCCATTTGATCTGCATTAACACCTCAGGAATGAGTGAAAGCCATAAAACAGTGATTATGTATGGGTAGAGCTGACCCTCCCTTCCAGCATTAAACCTGCACACGTGTATTAGGCTGGCTTGCTGGGGCGAGGAGAGATGCTGGACTCAAAGGGAAACGAAGTGGCTTGTGGGCCGTGGAACCCCAGCTAAGGGCACTAACTCACACAAGGGTCATCTTTATTTCCATAATCAACACCCTGACTCTCTTTTCCAGTATGAGTCTCTTGCTGAAATATAAACGGTTTGCCACTCTTCACATGCTTCCGG